AAAAAAAAAAAAAAAAAAGAGAGAGAAGAAAAGAAAAAGAAAAAGCCTTCTAGGCCCAGGAAATAGCAAGAGCAAAAGCCTTGAAAACAGAAGGTACCTGTTTGAGGACAAGCAAAGAGACTGGGATAGCCAGAGGATGAGCAAGAAAAAAAGAGATAGGGAGGAAAGGGGCATTAACTCAGCATCCATCACTTAACAGTCTTATGGCCATTGTACAACTCTGACTTTCACTTTGGATGAGATAAGAAGTCCCACTTGAGCAGAGGGGCTCAATTCATTAAAAAGAAAAACTTCATTGGTTATAGTTTCTATACCATAAGACATCCATTTAAAGTGTACAGTTCAATGAGTTTTAGTAAATTGGGTAACTATCACCATAATTTTTCAAACTTTCAATTTTTGAAACTTTTCCTGTCACCTTTTGTGCCCCTTAAAGTTAATCTTCATTTCCCCCCCAACCTGAGGGTACTCTTAATTTACTGTCTCTACAGATTTGCCTTGTCCAACCATTTCATTGCAACAGATTTATATAGTATGTGTCTGGCTTCTTATCATATTTTTATGTGACAATTATCTGTTTATTGAAATAAATTTCCCCTTGACTTTTTGTTTTGGTGAGATAGGATCTAGGCTAGAGTTCAGTGGCCTGATCATAGCTCACTGCAGCCTTGAACTCATAGGCTCAAATGATCCTTTCTCCTCCACTTCCCAAGTAGCTGAGACTATGAGTACACACCACCATGCTTAGATTTTTTAAAAAATATTTCTGTAGATGTGAGGTTTTGCTGTGTTATCCAGGCTGGTCTCAAAACTCCCGGCTTTGAGTGATCCTCCCACTTCATGCTGGGATTACAGGCATGAACCACCTCGCCCAGCTGATGTCTATTTTTATTTTTAAGATAGTCTCATTCTTTTGCTCAGGCTAGAGTGCCATAGTGTCAGCCTAGTTCACAGCAACCCCAAACTCCTAAGCTCAAGCAATTCTCCTGTCTTAGCCTCCTGAGTAGATGGAACTACAAGCACATGCCACAACATCTGGCTATTTTTATTTCTTTTTCTTTTTGAGACAGAGTCTCAAGCTGTCACCCTGCGTAGAGTGCTATGATGTCACAGCTCACAGCAACCTCAAACTCTTGGGCTTAAGGGATTCTCTTGCCTCTGCCTCCCAAGTAGCTGGGACTATAGGTGCCTGCCATAATGTCCAGCTACTTTTTTTTTTGTTCCAGTTGTCGTTGTTTTAGCTGGCCCAGACCATGTTCGAACCCACAAGCTTCAGTGTATGTGGCACCCTACCTACTGAGCTACGAGTGCCACCCTTTTTTTTTTTTTGAGACAGAGTCTCACTTTGTTGCCCTCACTAGAGTGCTGTGATATCATAGCTCACAGCAACCTCAAACTCTTGGGTTAAGTGATTCTCTTACCTCAGCCTCCCAAGTAGCTGGGGCTACAGCTGCCAGCCACAACGCCCAGCTATTTTTAGAGATGAAGTCTCAGTCTGG